ATGTGGTTATGCGTTATGAAAATGAAAAAAAAAAATGGAAGACTGCTATCCTGCCTGTCCTTGTCCTTCTTTTCACTAAACTAGACATCCCCAATTCCTACAATATGTTTTATCCTCCAGTCCCCTCATCATCCTGGATGCTCTTCTCTGCTCTCTTTCCAGAGTCTCCACATCTTTTCTACATCGTGGCCACCAAAACTGGGTGCGGTTTTCCAAGTGTGGCCTTATTACCAAGGCCTTATAAAGTGGCATTAACCCTTCACCTGTTTATGCAACCAAGGATTGCATTAACTTTTTTGGCTGCTGCCACCCACTGCCGGCTCATCTTTGAGTGGCCGCTCTGGGAGACCGTCTTGTTGCCGAATAGACCTGGTGCTGTCCTTAAGTGCAGCCATTTGTTTTGATTGACTTCCTGCATAAGGTGTGGCTCATAAAGGAATTGGGACAGAGGTGAGCAGGTCTGGGGCGAGGTGGTGGGAGGACCAAAGGGGGGAAGGACATGTGGCTCTTTTCCTTCCAGCTGTGCTTCTTGTGGGGCTGCAGCTGATCCAAGCCCAGATGTTTTGCCTGCCTTCTTTCCTTCCCTGGAGGGCTCCCACCATTGCACTGGCTGCCTGCAGCCTCTGAATGTCTTCCAGGTGCTGAGATGATCCCCTTTGAAAGGCCCCGCAGGGCTCCCTTTGGGGGACCACCCACCTCCACCCAGTCTGCTCAGGATGGTGGCCACAATGATACCGAGATTGGTTGCTCAACGGTAGCCTCCATTAGCCTCCATTGCAACCTTGTTTTCCTATCCTCTGCAGGGCCCCCTCAACTGCATGGGGCAGATTCCCTCTGGGTGCCCTCCACCTGAGAATGACGTGGGGGGGGGCGGACTCTGGAACAGGGCAGTCACTGCTCCCCCCCTTTGCAGCCCCCTCCCCCTGGAGAGCCACTGCTCCTCCTCCCCTCCAGCCCAGGATGGAGGTTTGCTGGGAATGTTGGGGTGCCGACAAAAGGGGTTGCGTTCCTTTGGCCCTTCCGGGTGGGCTTTTCATGCATTTGTTTTGGGGGGCCTTTTTTTCATGCTGGGCTCCTTCAAGGCTTCCGAGATTCCCAACACATAAATACACGAAGTGAAGACACATTTCACAAGGCTGACAAATGACTTGCCGTGGAAAGAACGTCCCCGCTTTCCCCTAAGCCCCCCCCCCCCACGGGGAGAAGGACCTTCCTGGCCCCAGAGTTTTTGAGAGCTGCCCCGATTCCCTCCCCTCCCGGCAGCCTTTCCAAGGATGAAGGGGGGGGTCTTCATTTCCCAGGGTTTCCTGGTCTCCCCCCCCCCTAAGCTTCCGATGTGCCCCCCTCAAACCGGGGAGGGTGGCGGCCAAGACCCGCCTCCACCTCCCGGGGGACCCGCATCCTTGCAGGGGCGGCGTGGAGGGGGGCGCTGCCAGCCGGGGCTCCGTCCTTGCCCCCCTCACCCACCGGGCGGGCGCAGGAGGGGCTGCGGGCGAGGGGNGGAAGGAAGGAAGGAAGGACATCCGAACTCTCTTTTCAGATGCTGGAGAACCAAGCTCTATAGACCAGTGTTTCTCAACCTTAGCAACTTGAAGATGTCCGGACTTCAACTCCCAGAATTCCCCAGCCAGCGAATGCTGGCTGGGGAATTCTGGGAGTTGAACTCCGGACATCTTCAAGTTGCCAAGGTTGAGAAACGCTGCTATAGACCACCGCCTGGGGATGCTTCTTTATATCCCACCTTTATTGACTGTATAATTAAAGGCCGTGAACGTACCTAATATTTCTTCCTCCACCTGTTTCCCCCACAACGACCCCCTTGTGAGGTGGGCTGAGAGAGAGGGAGGGGCTTCCCAAAGTCACCCAGCCCCCCCCTTTGTGCCTAAGGTGGGACTAGAACTCTCGGCCTCCTGCCGATGGGCCCAAAGTCCGGGGCACCCTGTGCTTCAAAAGAGCAGGTGGGGAAGATCAGGGGCCTCTCCTCTCCAGTGGCAAAGCCCACCCATCCGATGTGGGGAGTGGGCAGGGAGCCCCCTTTCCGTGGCACATTTCTTGGAACAAAGGATGGGAAACCGAGCGCAGCCTTCTAAACTCCGAGTTTCACTGACCTTCCCAGCTTCATCCTGGAGGACAATATTTTCTGGCTTAAGATCTCTATGAATGATTCTGTTTTCGTGCAAATACTGGATGCCAGACCCTGGAAATTATGGGGGGGGGGGGGGGAAATGCACACATTTAGAAAAAAAACTAAGAGGCACTTTCTGATTCGGCCTTCGTCATTTTGACAAGAGTGGTAAATCCAGAAGATGCCTCTGTCCCAAGATGCCCCTTCCACGGTCCGAATCAATGCAATTAATCATTCATACGCATTCAGAGCCTGAATTGGCTGTTTGAATGAACTTCGAGGCACAATAAGAAGACGGGGGAAGAAAACACTTTTAAATCTCTTTATCAAGGAAAAGAACAGCTGGCGTACCAATGTCACTCAGCACCGAAAGGATTTGGCTTTCCTTAAGACCACAGCAGTTCTCGGGGGCATTCAGCAGCTGGAAGAGTAACGGTAGCAATAACACGGAGGTTAATACAGCACGTAGATATGTATCTCCAAGGGCAAAACATCTGACTGTAGCAAGCATTGTGTCGGAGAACATATTTGGGCCAACAAAATAAGTGTCAGCTTCCAAATAATGAACCACAACTACAGGCTGAAGCATCGAAGAGCGGGAGACTCCCGGGGCCATCGGAGTTTCGCTCTCTGGCTCAACTTCTGGGTCCCAAAATTGGCAAGTGGCATGAAAGGAGCCTTAAGCCCCAGAAGCCCCCAGAAGGGTAGCAGCACAGCAGAGTCTCTCTCTGCTTCTGGCTTAGAGACCCCCGAGAGAATTGGGGAAGAGTTGGAGCTCCCTTCCCCAGGGACCAATTGCTGGGGATCTAACCTCAAGGTCCTCGGGTGGAAACGGGGCTCCGGCTGCCTCTGGGACAGGACCAGGTGTCCTGCAGGGGCTCCTCCAGGCAGCCACAGAGCGGGAGGGAGGGAGGGAAGGACCCCCAGGGGGCTCCAGCAGCCCAGCCCCACCTTCGAGCGGCCCCTACCTTCCTGAGGTCCCCCCTGGAGCAATACTCCATGGCCAGAAGGGGTACGCCGTTCACGGGGAAATCCAGCTCCTCCGGCAGCTCCAGGGCCTTCACCACGTTCGGATGGTCCAAGCTGAGGGGCAGAGAGGAAGGAGAGGGGCTGCAGGGGGGCCTTTCCCTCCCCAGCCGCCCAGAGGACTGGCTGAGAAGGGCCGCAGGGAGGGCAGCCTGGGCCAGTGGGCAAAGCGGGAGGTGGAGAGTTCTAGTCCTGCCTTAGTCACAGGGCCTGCTGGGGGGGGGGGGGCGTTTGGCCACTTGCCCCACCCCTCTCTCAGCCCCCCCCCTCGGGGTGCTTGCTGGGGGGGGAGGAGGAGGGAGGTGCGCTGGGTGTGTCCCCACCTTAACCGAAGTGGGACCCCTAGAGGCCATGCAGACCAACATCCGGATCAGCCCCCTCTGCCCCCAGGGGGGAAACAGGGCCCCTCCCTCCCCCTCCCCCCGGAGGATCCCCGTCCAGACCCCGGGAAGCCACCGGGGCCCCCGAGGGACCCCCAGGCGAGGGGAGCCCCGGGGCCGCCGCCCACCTGCGCAGGATCTGCAGCTCGTGGCGCCAGCGCTCCTGGTGTCGGGCGCTCAGCTCCAGCCGGCAAGCCTTCACCGCCAGGCGGGCGCCGGACTCCTGCGGGGGGGAAGCGGGGAGGGGGCGTTAGGGCGGCCCCGGGACCCCCCCCAGCCGCCCCCTCCCCTCCCCGCGGCCCCCACCCACCCGGTGCTGGTAGAGGGAGACGTTGCCGAAGCCCCCGGCGCCCAGCCGCCCTTGCATCTCCCAGGGGCCGCAGCTGGGGTCCCCCGGGCAGCCGCCCCGCAGCGCCACCGCCGCGCCCGCCGGCAGCCGCTCCATGCCCGCCCCGGCCCAGGCCCCGCCGGTGCCCCCGCCGCTCCTCCTCTTCCGGGGACGGCGCTCGCCCGCAGCCTCCCCGGCCGCAGAGCAGGAAGGAAGAGGCGGCGGCGGCGGAGGAGGAGGAGGAGGAGACGGGGCCCCAGGAGAGACGCCCCCGCCGCCCTCCCCTGCGCGCAGCTCCCGGGCCCGTCCAGATGGCCTCTGGGGGCCCCGGCCGCTCTTCCCCCCTCCCCCCGGGGAGCGTGCAGCGCCCCGCAAAGGAGCGGGGAAGAGCGGAGCCCTTGGGGGGCCCTTCTCCCCGCTCCCTCCCTCCCGCCTGTCTGGGCGGCCGCAGGTGCTGGAGGCGCCGCTCCGAGACCGACGGGAAGCCTCTCCTCTCTGGCGGGGGCTTCGGCACTTAAGGCCGGGCGAGTTTCCTGGCTGGCCGACCCCGCAGAGCAGCCTCTGCCCACCCGGAGAGCCCGGGACGCGGCCAGAGGCCCCTGTGCGCCCCCGCCTTTTGCCCCCCAGGAGCCGCTTTCCAGCCCGAACGAATCCAACCGAATTCGGCCCCTGAATCCCCCCGGCCGCCCTCGGGAAGAGCCTCGGCGGATGAATGGCGGTGGAAGAGCGCCACCTGGCGGCCTCTGGCATCCGCCACTCGAGTCGCTTCGCTGTCCCCCTTTTTGGCTGTGGCCAAGTTGCTCACCCGCCAGTGGGGCAGCTCCGGGTCCTCTCCCCCCCCCGCCCGCTTTCCTTTCAGGGGGGCCCGCTTGCACGTGGAAGGCCCAAAGCCCAAAAGGGACCCTCGCACTTCATTGCTACTTGGGGGAAGGCCAGGGAGTGCATTGTTTTTGTGTGCCGCCAGAAGTCCCTGAACTTGAGTGGGCAGCCATATAAATTCTCTAATAACTTACACACACACACAAACCCCTCTCCCTCCCTCCCTGTTTTGATTTTGTCAGAAGGGAGGGACGGAAGCCCTCTCTGCCTCTTCCCCAAAGGAGAATTAGAGGCCAAATGGTGGCCAGAGGATCAACCCACCACTGGACAGGAGGCTAAGACCCCTTTCAGTCTCTGTCCAGACCTGGCCCTGCCCCCAGGCCAAGCGGCGGCTGCTAGAGCTGCCTTTCACTGCTTGCCTGGTAAGTCTTGAAAAGCCAGCTGTCAATCAAAGCAGAGTTGAGGCTGAAACAAACTCCATGTCCCTCCTCTGCATGTTCTACCCACCACTTATACAGAATAGAGTTGGAAGGGATCTTGGAGGTCTTCTAGTCCAACCCCAATGCTCAAGCAGGAGACTCTATATCAGTGGTTCCCAAACTTGGCAACTTTAAGACTTGTGGACTTCAACTCCCAGAATTCTCCAGCCAGCTGCTGGCTGGAGAATTCTGGGAGTTGANGGGGGGGGGGGGGGAGGGTTGATGAAGGAAGTGTGTCTGCTGGTGGACATCCTGAGATGGGCTGCAGCTGCCGCCTCCACCTGGGCCCTCTTCCGTCTGCCAAATCCTTTCTGCAGCTCTTTTGTGACGATGGAGACGTAAAGACCCCCTGCCAACGATTTACTGCTACTTTTGTACAGAGGGGAGGATTCCTCCCTCCGGTGCCTTGTCCAGCAAAGGAGCTTTTAACTCTGGAGTCATTCCGCACGAGATCCACCCAGGCGGGAGCTCGGAGGTCAGCGTGGAGAAGGTGCTGGACGTGGAAGAGCCCGACGGAAGTCAGGCCCTGCCATGGACAATCTTTGGCTCCTCATTTCTCTGGAGGCCGAGTTATAGGCCAGGCGGTGGCTGTGAGGCTCAAGTGAGGGGACAATGGCTGCCTTGAGCCACTAAGAAAAGCCCAACATTATCAGCTCTGCCATGTTCAAGGCTGCTATGGGAAGGAAACCACTTTATCATTCAATCCCGTTGACCCGGGAGAGTTTGGCCGGTGGCTCTTCTCTTGGCCCAAAGGGAGGGGAACCCAGCCTGCCGCACACAAGCAGCCTTCTTGCTTTGGGTCCTGAACTGGCTCAAGGGGGCAGCTGCCACACTGGTGCAAACAGCTGGATCCCTCAGAGGGGGTTCTCCAAGTAGGCAGGAGGTGGCCAGGGTCCAGGGCAGGCTGGGCACGGAGCTGCACAGGCCGCCGTTGTTGTTGTTATTGTTCTGAATGTGATTTTATTTCCTGGGGAAAATCTTCTCAAAGGCCCTTGCAACAGCTGTGGGGTGGTGGTGGTGGGGATACAGAAAATGTCTTTTTCGCCTTTTGGTTGGGAGATTTCTGCCCTCAAAGGCCACTAAAAATTCATTCTGGGGAAACAGCTAATTGGGTCAGCCGTTTCCGTTCAACCTGACCAGCAGGGTTTTGAAACCTTGCCAGTTTTTCCCCCAGAAATTCTCTCGGGAGATACAGGCCCAATAAACAGCTTTGTGCGGTTAATACGACATTTGCTGCCCTCAGATATTATGACGGCTCTTGAGAAGATTATAAAATGGATTAGACAAATTTGTGGAGCTATTAGACCTGATGGCCATGAATTTGCATTATGTACAAGAGACGCATCTCTTCAAGGCCAGCGGAGAGAGAGAGAAGACACGGCGGCTCCCCCTGGCTATGAACTTTCCCCGATGCAGCCGAACGGACCCCGTGTTACACGCAATGCTGCTGCAAATGGACCTTCGCCCTCGTTTACCTGATTAATTTATCAACTCCAACATGTTTTAAGAAAAAAACGTTTTCATCCGTTTCATGCCCATGATGTCTGGGTGCAAAAAGAACTGGGAAGGGTCCCTGATAACCCCTTTACCTGCTGGTGATCAGCTCCTTTAATAAAAGTCCTTACCATCTCGCCCGGTGTACGTGGGGTATTTGGGACTGTGAGGCTCTGGGGGGAAACAAGGCACAGGTTTTGCTTCCAAGGATGGAGGGAGGACCTGAGGGCAGGTGCCCCGGATGCTGTGCCCTAGTGGGAACTCTGGACTGCAGGCGGCTGCAGTTACAGAAGGGGCTTGGCACTGGGATGGGGGGGGGGCAGCCCTTCTGCCCTGTGGACTTGTATTCCGCTTCTGGTCAGGGAGGAAGCCCAAATCCTCTTCACAATTCGCATCCTCAGCCAGGGACCCTCCTTCCACCACGGCCCTTGGATGCCTGTGGAGATTCTCAGTCAGGCAGGTCACGGGGGTCCCAAAGGGGCTTTTCCCCCAAAAGGCAACGGGACTTCCTTGGCTTTTTTCTTTTCTTGGAGGCGTTTCGCTTCTCATCCAAGGAGCTTCTTGGGTTCAGAACTGAAGAAGCTTCTTGGGTGAGAAGCGAAACGCCCTCAAAGAAAAAATACCAAGGAAGGCCTGTTGCCTTTTTTTTGGGGGGGGGGGGGAAACCCTTTGATCTTTACTGCTGCAGTGGAGGGAGCCCGGGGGCCTTGCTTTTTGGGGGCTCCCGCACGTTCCTCGGAAGAGGCCTGCCTTCTGCAGCCGAGAGGAGCCAGGACAGGAGATCATCCGGAACAATCTGCGATGTTCTTGGCAGAGAAAAATCAGCTTGAACTGGGACTCCGTCTCTGAGGGGGGACCTTGGGATGGGACTTCAGGAACCGCTTCTTTTATTTGTACACTTTGAAGAGTGGACAGGAAAGTCACCATCTGTTTCACGCAACTTTTACAATATTTCACTGTTGATTACAAGGCAATCAAAAAGCTGGCTTGATACAAATGAGACTTTATCAGAGATAAAAATGGCTGCAATTTGGAAAACAGGATAGAATAACAGAGTTGGAAGGGACTTTGGAGGTCCTCTAGTCCAGCCCCCGGCTCAAGCAGGAGACCCTAGACCATTTCAGACCATTCTCTTCTTAGAAGCCTCCAGTGTTGGAGCCTTTACAACTTCTGTTCCACTGGTTGATTGTTCTCACTGTCGGGAAATGTCTCCTTAGTTCTTGGTGTTTCTCTCCTTCATTAGTCAGTTCACATCTTCATCTTATTCTCGCTTTTATGCTTTGTGTCTTCTGCATCCCTGATGTTTTCTTTCTTTCTTCCTTGGCAGGAGGGAAGTTGGTGCAATGCCAATGGAAAAGCAATCTTAAAATTGTTTATTCGTAATATCCAAAAAGGGAAGCCAAACTATGGGATGCAGCTGTGTTACAAAACACGGGATAGCAGTAGTTTAATTTGCAACAGGGTGTTAATTTCATTGTAGGATGGCAGCATTTGTGAACCTGGCCTTGTGTGTTTTGAACAGGTCACAAAGCAATCAAATGGGAGGCAAACAATAGATCTCTCCGGCTATTGCTTCATCACCCCAGGCAAGAGACGGCACGGAGGATTGGAAAACAGGCACCCAATGATCCAGGATGAGTCGTAGAAGAGGTCCAAGGGGAGACTCTTCCAAGGGAGTTTGCATCACCTCTCGCCCCCCAAAAGGCCCGGCTGTAATGGCCCCTTGGACGTTGCAAGGCCCAACCCAGCTGAGCTTCTGAAGAAAGCCAAAGGGCTCCTCAAAGGCAGTGCGGCTCCTTCCTCCTGGCAGGCCCCGGGGGCTTCCCAGAGGAAAAGGGCCAGGTCAGGCGAGGCCCTCGCCCCCTTGATCCAGCATCACCTTCCCCAGGAGCCCCTTGCGGAAGGCGTAGATGAAGTCACAGGCTGCTGCGTTGTAATTCGGGATGGAGACGTTCACATTCCCTGCCGACAGGAGGAGAAGCCTCAGGGCTCAGCCCGGGGGGGAGGTCTTTCCTCCTCAAAAGGGGGACCCCAAACCCCTCCAGACTGGTAGGGTCAGAAGAACCTGCTCTGCTAAAGCTGGGCCCTCCGTTAAGCGTCCGTCCGTGGGCTCTGCCATCACCCACTCCTGGAATCTGCCCTCTCTGCTCAGAAGCCCCCCCACCCCCACGTGACCAGAGAAGAAGGACTCACCTGTGCCTGTCAGGACCCGGACCTTCTGCACCTTGCCCAGGTGCCGTGCTATGCTTTTGAGGACGCTCTCCACCTCATCGCAGGGGCCGCTCAGCCCGTAACGCTCCACGTAGCTGCGGAATAGGAGTGGGGGGGGGGGGGGGGAGA